AGAAATGACCCACCCACCACCACACTTGCCACTTGGTCAGCTTTGGTCTTCAGTTGTCGGCTTTACTTGCTTTGCCATGATTGGTTACTGCCTTTTTTTCCAGAGCTCTTCTTACTTTATGGAGGTGTAACAAAGAGCACCAACTTTAAAGGTACAGTTCAGAGAATGTTCACCTATGAACGCATCCTGTGCTCACCACCCACGATGGGGTAGAGCATAGCTTTTACCTTTTTTTTTTCTGAGACAGGGTCTCACTATGTAGTCCAGGCTGGACTTGAGCTCACTATGTAGTCCAGCCTGGACTTGAACTCGAAGTGATCCACCAGCCTCAGCCTCCCAAGTGCTGGCATGACAGGCATGTGCCACCACACCTAGCTTATAAAATACTTCTATATGTTATTCACTTTCTTGGGAGATAGAAAACATCTTAATCACAGATTGTTGGTCAGCTTTCTATCACTGACAAAATACATGAGATAAACAACTCAGAGGAGGAAAGGTTCATTCTGCTCAGTTTCAGAGGGTTCAGTCTATGGTTTCTTGGCTCTATGGCAACACAGTACATCATAGTGGGAGCAGGTAGAAAGGAAGCCTGTGGCCCCTCTTGGAGGTGGGAAGCAGGGAGGGAGGAAGGGGCAGGGTCCCCATCTCCCCTAGAGGGCTTGCTCTCCCAGTGACCTCTCTTCTTCCCACCAGGTCCTATCTCCTAAAGGTTCTACCACCTCCCAATGGCACCACAAGCTGGGACCACGCCTTCACCATGTGGACCATTGAAGGTCATTTACGATCCAAACTATAGCACAGGCACCCCATAATATGGCACCCTGAAATTTAGAAATTACAGAGATTAAGCCTCACACCTTTCCTCCTGTAGAACTACTTGTGCTTAAATGCATGCTTTACAGATCTCTCAAGTTCTTTTCATTTTTTTACTGGCCCGACTCTGCTCATTTTCATTTACATCTACTAAATTTATGTACCACCAAAGCATATAGCATAACTTATTATTTATTGATTATTGCTTAAAGTAATGAAAACATCCCCACCCCCATTTCCCTAATGTTTCAATAAATGCCACAAAAACATACCAGCTTTGCTACTAAGACAGTATAGAGAAAAGCTATGTGGGAGGATGAGGATATAATGGGGATAGTAAGTATATCCTAAAAGCATGATTGCTTTTTATTTGTTAGACTAAAATTTAGCTGCACCTAAAACCACACCTTTATAACATTCGCAACTGCTCAGTGACCATCTGAGTATTTCCGACAATAAGGGATAATACTGCTAAGACTCTTTATGACAACTGCACCTTTGTAATCAACTCATACCATTCAAGTATAAATATAGTGACAGCCCTGGAAGAGGGGGTGGCTTTAAATATCTACACTCAAGAGAGGAAAACACACATGAGCGTGCGTGTGCGCGTGCGCGCACACACACACACACAGACACAGGAGCTGCCTCAATGTCATTGTCCAGCAGGAAACAGGGCCAAGAAATAATGGCCCCCTCCTCCCAGGCAATGCAACAGGTCAGAACCCGGCAGGAATGACCTAGAGCCTTGCAGGCGGAGCCTGGCTTTCAGTCACTATGCCCACATTCATTAAGCAAGAAAGAGTCAGAAAACAAGCTGCGGGAGATGGAACACAGAATGGCCCTCACCAGCCCTACTGGGATGAGCCAAAATTTCCTGTTTCCTTAGTACTTTATCCTGCACAAAAGTTTATTAAGAGCTAAAACTAAAGTGGAATGCAGGAGCTGACAGCCAGGATACAACATGAGTAAGGTCCCACCTTCTAACACTGCTGCCTATTCATCCTCTAGAGAAGTTACCTAACCTCTGTCATTGAAATTCTCCTTTTGAGCAGATTCTAAATAGGATCACCAGTGCCTACCCACCTCCCTTTACCACCGCCCTGTGCAACCCCATGATATCTCCCAAGAACGGAGCAGTATCTCCCTGCTGTTTTTATTTAGAGTCCCCAAACTTGGCATCATTCTGAAGACTTATCTCCCAGTACACACTGCTGGCCTTGTTCGTCACTGTTTCAAAAGATGGCTCCGGCTTCGCTGGAGAGTGGAAAGTGGGCGGGGGAGCAGTGAGGAGATCTAAGGACAGACCCAGCCACGTGTTTTAGAAATGTCCAAAAGGAGACAAAACCTGAGCATCTGTCTTAAAGACGAAAGGTGCCTACAAGCACAGCTTTAGGGAATCCCAGCCCACCACCTTGATTCTACCTCCTTCTTGCTAGTTCATACAGCGAGCACAGCAAAAGAGGACTGGACTCTTTCCTAAACTGTGCTAACAACCAAAAGAGCAGCAAGGTGCGATCACGTATATGCTTCCAAATTTCAAAATTACAGCTCAGACTGACTGACTGCTACAGGGAACCATGAGAAAGGAGAGATGAATTTTCCTGTGCGGGACGCTGCTGTTTCCCCCATCTCTGGGCCTGCGTCATCTTTCTCGGTAAAAGCCTGTGCTGAGGATTTTTCTCCAGCACATAATGCCCAGCTCCAACTCTGAGCGAGCCAGCACACTGCAGACCTGGATCTCCACCTGCCACTCCGGGGACGGTACTGCGTAAGGGGGTCCGGCATTCATGGACCTGTCATTGCTGCCCACGCGGGCCTTTCGTGGTCCCTGTGGAAACTCCTTGGAAGCCTGAAGGAGGACATGGCTAACCCAAGAATCTGCAGACCCCCTGGATTGGGGATCAGCAAACTACAGCTGGCAGGCCTTAGATGGGCCCTCTACCAGTTTCTGTAATTAAAGCTTTATTGGAACACAGCCATACCCATTCATCAATGTATTGTCCTGGCTACTTCGTGCTACAGCAGCAGAGCTGAGTAGTTACAACAAAGAGTGTATGACCTGCAAAGTCTAAAATATGCACCATTCAAGCAAGGTGCGGTGGTGTACATCCGAATCCCAGCA